ACTTTTTAAATAGACTGTACTGAAAGTTACATCATTTCATCCATTTTACTCATCTCTGAATCTATTTGGAGTTCTTTCTGACTTTAATATTTGATTATCTGTGAATGTACCTAATTTTCTGGTTTTTTTTTTTTTTTTTCTTGATTGCTTGCCACATTATTTAATTTCTTTGGCTGTTTCTTATGGTGTTTATTTTGTGCCCTCAAAGAAGACTAATATTGAATGTACAAAAGGTATTTTCTTTCAGAAGATACTGTTTTCTTCTGGAATGATTTGTTCTTTGCTCTGTTAGACTACATGAGGTGTTGATTATCTCAGTTCAATCAGAGATTAAGGGGCTGGGGATTTAGCTCAGCGGCAAAGTACCTGCCTGGCAAGTGCAAGGTTGTGAGTTCGGTTCCCGGTACCGGAGAAAAACAAAACAAAACAAAAAAAAAAAAATCAGAGATTAAGTAGACTGCCATCTCTGCTAGGATTCTGTATTCTAAATACTAGACAGTGGGATATTTATTTTTCTCTTTAGGCCCAGGTTTCCTTTCTTCAGTGCTCTGAAGAGATGTACTACTAAGAAAATTGAGCATGTATTTGGGGCTTTTCTAGAGTCTAGTGAGTCATTCTATACCATGTAGACATCTGAAGCATCACTGGTACCTGTGCCTAAAATAAACTCAATCCTTACTCAGACCCAAACTATGCAAATGCCCACAGGGAAGAAAATGTCAGTAGTCTCAGCTCACCTTGGAATACTCTTGTATCTCTGGATCTTTTGTTCATCTAGTCCTCATTGCTTCTGCTGTTTTCTTATGTTAGTCTAATCTTTGAAGATAGGCTTGCTCCTGTTCAGTATCTTACTTTAGGAAAGTGGAAGCCAGTAGTTTTATGTTAACAAAAGAAAGATAATTTTAATAGTGCTTGTATGTGCATTGTGATATTTTGAATAAATTCATCTATATTACATACTAATATGGATAGACATTTTATTTTCTTTCTGATACAAAATTTAATCAAAATATACCCTAGAATAAAGACTGACTCATGGACCAAATCTGGTCCAGTTTCTGCTTTTCTATAGCCTATGAGCTAAGAGTGGACTTTTGCCTTTTTAAAAAATTGAAGGCGGCTTTATAACACATAAAATTATGCAAAATATGAATTTCATTGTTCAGAAATAAAGTTTTCATTCAGTAAAGCCACTCTTATCTCTTTATGTACTTTCTCTGGCTGATTTCATCCTGTGATGGTTGAGTAATTATCTCAGAGATCCTATGACACATCGTATATAGCATATTTACTTTCTGGCCTTTTAAGGAAAAACTATGGTTATTCCTGATTTAGATTGTAAGCTCAGGAAGTGTTTACTTTTCATTAATCAGTAAAATTAAGTAAAAGACTGAAAATTTTTTATTCTATAAGTTCTGTTGGATGTATCAGTCTGTTAGCATTTTAGAGTTAGAACGAACTTGAGTGATAATCTCCTTCATCTCTGACAAATAAATAGCTTTTAGTGAGACTTTTATATCTTGATTAGTTTTTGTTTTGTTAGAAAATAGACTTCGTAAGCTTATAGAAAAACTAATCAATTATTTCTGAACAGCTTGCAAAATTCATTTGTTCTTATATTGCAGAAGTTTTTGATTTTCCTTAAATAATGTTAGGAATATTTCCTTTTGTTACCTGTTTTTGTTTGTTGTTTTCTTGAGAAGGGCCTTACTATGCAAGTAGCCCACTTATGTAGCCCAGGCTGGCCTCAAATTCATGGCGATCCTCTTGCCTCAGTCTACACACTCAGCCTCTTCTTTGGAATTTTTAAGTCAACATTTGAAGATAAATATTTAAGGTATTGTCAGTAGCTTTTTTTTTTTTTTTTGGTTTTTCTCTGGTACCGGGAACCGAACTCACGACCTTGCGCTTGCCAGGCAGGCGCTTTTGCCGCTGAGCTAAATCCCCAGCCCCTGTCAGTAGCTTTTTAATCTTTCATATTTAACATAATCCTTTCAAATGTACTGCATATGACATTCTTCTTTAAAAGGTCTTACAGGATCAATTTCAGATAATCCTCATTAAGCTTCTGTTGATTTAGGATCTAAAGTCCTAAATCATCAGAAGTTCCAATTGTTAGTGTATAAGACTTGTTTCTAGGTTTTTTCTACTGACCTTATATATCATGAAAAATTCATTAGTTCTCAGATGTAATCATATAATGGAATGTTACTAATAAATAGCATTTTTGTTTTCCAGTGTTGAAATCAGATTCAGCTTCCTTAGAATTATTATAGGAGATTAAATGCCACCACAAAGCTCATAGTTGAATAGATTTTATGAGTGAGTATATCTATTCCTGTTTAGCATTCAACACTGTCAGTCACTGTTTCTCTCTTTTATGGCATACTTTCCTGGGAGAAATCTCATCCACATACGTAGTTTCCATTACTTCCTTTTCAAACCTATGTAAAATAATTCCTTGGATAACTCTTTAGCATACATTAATTGCTAAATATCCTCTAAGTGCTTTGGTGTATCTCTGGTACCTGCTTGTTTTACTCTCTGAGTAAAGAATATAGTTGTACTTTCAAACTCCCACATTTTGTCTCCTCCCTCTCTCCTCTTTTATTTTCCCTTCTCTCAAAATACTATTGAGTATGATGTCCCAGGCACTTTTCTAGACAGAAGATAGAATAGTGACCAAGACAAGAGTAATGTCAGTTCTGTTGGTGCTTGTAGCTTGGTGAGGGAATGATACACTAAACCCACAATCACAATTGTAGGTCATGAGACAAAAATTATGTAACAAATTTTGAAACAAAGATATAAGATGAATTCATATTTAAATTGAGATGAAAAGAACAACTGGGATGAGGGAAAGAAGAAACAAAAAAAAAAGGAAGGGAAAAAATATACACACACACACACACACACACGATAGCTAAGACAATTGTACTATGAATTTTGATTGATTTATTGAGACAGTTAATGTTTAATTGTTTGATCAATCTTGCATACCTATATCTGGTAATCTGAGCAACTACTTTGAAGATAACAATAAGTAATATAACAACCATTGTTGATTTCCTATCATTTTGTTTTGAAATTCTGTATCGTTTTAAAATTTTTTTTGTCTTTGTTTTTGTTATTTTGTTTTTGTTCTTTTCTCTTTCAAATAAAATAAATAAAAATAAAGGGGGGGACTGAAGTGCTGTGTACATGCACCAGGTCCCTGTAAGACTGTGATCATCATGTACTACAAACATGTAGAAAATTCTGTATATACGAGTGTCTGTGTGTGTGTGTGTAATGAATGGATCCAGGAGATTTAGGAAGAGGGAACAGAAGGGAAGGGGTTAAAAAAGAGTTAAATATCAAGTACATGTACCAGCTCCCATGATAATGTAATCATTATGTACTAGAAGCATGTATCAAAAAAAAAAAAAAAAAAAAAAGATGGTTCAGGTGTGTATATGAGGGAAATTTACCCAGTCTGTGGAAATAGGAACTTTACTGAGTAAGTGACACTGGGACCTCAAAGGTCAAGAGGAGACAGCAGGAAATACAAGAGAGAATTTCAGACACAGGGAAAGTTTTTGTGAAAGTCCCAGAGAACTCAATAGTCTTATATGAGTGGAATACATAATGAAGGATGAGAGGCTGGTTGAAGTCAGATATTAGAAGAACATCTTTTAAACCATGACAGTGCTTTTGGACCTTAGGAGAATTGAGGAGATACTGAGTTTTAAGTGGAGGAGTAACACAATTAAATTTGTGCTTTTAAAGTGTCTTGGTTTCCTTTGTGAAGAATGGATTGAGGGGCATAAATGTGGCTGTGCAGACATGAGTTAAGACGGGAGATAATAGTAACTTACTAGTTTAGCTGCAGTACTGATGTGGTGTACAGAATCAGGAGCTATTTATGAGATATAGCTGACAAGATTTTGTGACTGTTTTGATTTGAGGGATGAAACCTAAGAAGTATCAAGGATAAAGCTTTTGTATGCTCATTGCTTATGTCCATCTTGTTGACATTTAGTATCTTGAACTCCAGCATCATCAGAATGGAACCTGATTTTTCATTTTAACAAATTAATTCTTCTGCCTGACTTCCCTACTTTTGGGAATGTGGCATCCCTACCTCTGGGTGACCAGCACTTAAAATTTCTTGGGTCACTACTCCCACCAAATTAGTTACTAGATCTTAAGGACTTGAATGTATTAGAATCTAGAATCATCATTATTGTCATTGACGTCATCATAACCACCATCATAATCTTGTTCTCTTTTCCATTTTTTCTTCCCCTTTTGTCTTTATTGTATCAGTAACATTCTCTTGCTAGATCATTTAACTGTACTGCTTTCAAGTTTCAGATCCTCCAGGGTGAGAACCAGCCTTTTCATTTTGTATCTTAACTACCTAGTAGTAATGTACATGACAGCATGGTGAACATAAAAATATTAAATGAAATGAAAATGTTCACTTTGCCTCTTATTTACTCTACTATAGTTTTTTATTTTTTTAAATCTTAAACTCATTTAGGGATGTCTCTTTTCTTTAAAAAAGGACCATGAGGTAATGAAAACTAGTTTTTTTGAATATGCAAAGTATGTGACTTCAAGATTTTCCCTATAATAATTTAGTAGAGAGTGACTCTTAAGCCTTTTTGCACTATAGCCCTCATTAGGTCAAAGAGTATTTCTTTTTTTCCTAGAAAATGCACATAGCTGATCTTTATTACTAGTCCTTACTGTTGAATACAGTTTAAGAAAACTTCATTTGATACTTTTTTGTGTTTTATTTTTTTTACAAGTTTTTGCAGCAAATTTTTATAATTATTATTTAATATATATTTCCTAGCTGTATAATATTATTACCATCTCATAGCTACTTTATGTTAATATACACAATATATTTTTGTAGAGTTAATAATATTCAAGTATCTCCTATTTGAATAGTTTTATATATTCTAATATGAACATTCATAATTATTTTTTCCACTTTTAAAAATTTTTAGGAATAAGAAAACTTTAAATAAGAAGAAGTTGAAAAGAAAACAGAAGAGCAAATCAAAAGTGAAGACAAGAAGCAAGGTAAAGCTGATGGCAATTTATAAGAATTAAAGACTTTTCCTATAGTAATTTGAATAAAAATGCCAAAATTTAAAAGATATGAGTATAACTAGCAAACCATTTGTCTTAGTTACTTTCTTGTAGCTGAGACATAATGTGTGATGCCCACAACTCTAAGGAGGCAAGGTTTATTTTGGCTCACAGTTTGTAGTGGTTTCAGTCTAGTCAGCTGGCTCTAAGGCTGAGCAGCATGGCAGAGGAGAAATACCTCATAACATGGTTAGCAGGAGGCTGAGAGAGAGGGTAAGGGGTAGAGAAGAGATAACCCTTCTAAGCTATAACCCCAGGGACCCACCTCCTCTGACCAGATCCCATCTCATAAAAGTAAGTCAGCTGTACATTCATTAGCAAACCAATCCACTAATGATTATCATATCTCCATGATCTAATCATTTTCCAGAAGCCCTCCTTAGGAGTAGTACATGAGGCTTTGGTGGGACATCTAGATATAAACCATAACACTGTTCCTTTTCTGTGTGTTGAAGTCATTTTATAAATGTCTCTAGTTATTTGGTTCTGCCTTATTTTCATCTTTAGTATGTTTCTTAACCAGTAGCTAAACTATTATTCGGGGTTGAAAATTATTTATTTTTTATCTTTCATCAGTCCTTTGAGGGAACATATCCATTACTCTTCTTTTTTCACTCTGACTCCATGTAACGTAAACAGTAAAATTGGCTAATCAGTTGGAACTTAGGTTTAGATTCATTATTTGCTTTTCTTGACATGAATTAAGGAGATTCTTGGTGTGTTTGCATTGTTCTGAGCTTTGTTTGATTGTGAGTATGCAAAAGAAAAGGAAATATAGAATATTTGAATTAGAGGGGGCCTCAGAGATCAAGAATCTCTTTTTACAGAAGAGATTGTGTATGCAGAAGTCTTGTCTATAAAGTCCATCCACCTTTTTCTTAAGCATTTGTAATGATCAGTGTACTTACTATATAAAAGAGCCTTTTCAGTTAAACAGCAGTACTGAGAAACCTAGACAGAAGAAAGATAAGACTTATAACTGTGGTCTCTGAACAGCTCTACTTTGGGTTAGAGAAACAGCCATTTAGCTGGGTCTGTATATCATTTTTAAGTTTTAGAGGCAAATATTTACTGGCCTTTTAAATTAGTGTTTTTGCTGTTGTAAACAGAGTAAAATCTACTTTGAAGTAGTAAACAAAAAGTAAAATGAAATTTATTTGAGGGTTGAGGGAGTTGAGGGGTAGAATTCATTTCTTGGCTCTGATTTGAAACAACTAGATGCAAGGTTTAAATAATGTCATTAAATCACTGCTTCCATGTCTTGCCTCTGCTTTCCTCTGAATGTGGGTTTGTTGCCTGTGGCTGAAGACTGAAGCTGCTTTCAACTCATACTTCATTTTCTTTGAGCAAGAGACAGTCTCTTCTGCTAGCACTTGTAGAAAATCTTGGGTGGATTTTCTTTCTTCTAGTAGCAAGGATGGAACCCAGGGCCTTCACAGAGCTAGGGCCTTTGCATGTCCCTACCCCTTTTAGTTTATTTTGAGACAGGGTTTCACCATATCTCTAAATTGCCTGAGGTGTGTTTGAAGTTGAAATTGCAGGTGTGCACCAACATGCCTGGCTTGGGATAGGATTTTGATTGAATTGTGTCATTCACTTTGCCCAGGGCGTTGGACTACTTTGGTTAGACTGAATTGTATTTGAAACTCTGTGACCAGCAGTGGTGAGCAGGCCGTGGAGAATGGGAAAGTGGAAGAGGTGTTTACTTCAAGGATGGTGGTGTTGAGCAGGTAGATAAATAATGTGTTCACTGTGTGACCTCTCATTACTTCTGTTTTTAGAATAGAAAAGAGAGGTAGAGCTCTCTTTAATACATAAACACCTCAAACAAATGCATAGTCATTCAGAGTTCCAGCCTCTACCTCTTTCCACTTTTGGTACTGTGTACAAAATCAGAGTATAAAAATCGGTGACATCTTTTGAAATTCTTTGAAAGTTCTATTTGGTGATTTTCCTGAAGTAGCATGTGATATCCAGGAAGAGATTGAAAGTCAAGGTCTTTTGTACCCCTTCAGTTCAGCTCTGACTAGCTTTGTCCTTCTGGTAATTCCATGTTTTTCTTGCCATCAGTGTTTATATCTTCTTTTTAGGAGCAGCTTGTGATAAGAGTAATATAAATTCATTCCTTTAGTCTTTGAACAGTAGCTGCCTACTGAGTATGTGCGGGCATTTTGCTAGGTGTTTGGGATGCAGTGATGAATGAGAAGCATTTCCTGCTCACAGTAAGCTTATCCTATAGTAAAATGGTGTCTCTTTGCCCTCTGTTACTGTTTCCAGATTATTTTTTATCTTTTTTAATTTAAAAAAGTACCATTTAGCCATAATTTTTTATATCTTTTTTTGTTGTCATTGATTCTTCTTTTTCTCTTCATTCATCAACAAACTCCTTCATATAATTTCTGATCTGGTTTAGATGTCATGAATTTTTTTTTTAATTCTTAATATACTGGTTCCCTGTAGCTGCTGAGACAAATTAACAAATACAAATTATCTAGAGGTCTGAGGTCCAAACTGAATTTCTTTGAGGTAACGTCAAGTATCAGCAAGCCTGCATTCCCTCTGGAGGCTCTAGGGATAGCATCCCTTGCCTTTCTGGCTTTTAGAGACTGCCTGCATTCTGTGAGTTATGGCCCTTTTTCTTTATCAAGAGTCATCAGTGGGTTGCTGAATTTTTTTATGCTGTATCTCTGTTACGGTTTTCTCATGTTTTGTCTCCTCTAACTATCCTGTTTCTGTCTTTGACTTTTAAGCACCTTTGTGAATACATTGGGTTCACCCAGATAATTCAGCATAACCTCCCCTTTGTAAGATCTTTAATTATGTCTCATCTGCAGAGTCCCTTTTGCCATGTAAGATTTCATAGTCACACCCTCTGGTGTTTTTGGAGGCCATTATTCTCCCTATCACACTTCTGTTGTGTATTTGTTGTATTTATCTGACAAAGCTGAATCTTGGGGCCAGGGATATAGCTCAGCAGCGTAAGCGCCTGCTTGGCAGGCTCAAGGTCCTGAGTTTGATTCCCATTGCCAAAAAATAAATAAATTAATTTTTAAAAAACCTGGATCTTACATAAATTAATTGTTTTCTCTTTCCATGCATGTGCTGTTGAAGGGAGTTAAACAAGAGTAAATTGATAATAATAGACATTGATGATCAATCTTAACTGGAACTTTCAGAGCCAGACTATTTTATTTTTGTCAGATACTTCTCCTATTTTTCCACTGTTTCAGACCTTTACCATTCCTTCACACCCCTGCTAAGTCCTATCCTTTACATATGACCTCACTTTCTTACAGGAGAGATCAAATCTATTATGCAGAAAACTCCTTCATCTTCCTGATATCATATGTGTCTATTTTAGGTTTCTTAACAGTACAGTACTGAGATAGGTATAGTATTTAAAGTGTAAAATTTAATAAGTACCATATATGTGTGAAACTACTACTAAAATCAAGGCTCAGAACATCAGAACAAGGTTCATCGTATCTAAGGGTTTTCACATCTTTTTTCTATGACCCTGAGTCTAGACAGCCAGTAATTCTTTTTCTGTCACTGTAGATTAGTTCTCATTTTCTAGAATTTAACATAAACTTGGTTATATACTGTGTGTTCTCTTTTGTACCTGGCTTTTCCTTCAACATAGTGGGTTGTGTTTGTACTGTTTTATATATCAGTATTTCATTTATTTTTCTATTATTGTTAGTGTCTCATTGTGTGGGTATATCACAATTTGTTGTCCCATTCATTTATTGATGGATATTCTGGTTATGTTTCCAATTTTTGGTCATTGCAAATAAAGCTGCTATGATGCCTCATGTACTAGTCTTAGTGTGGATATGTATTTTCATTTTTCTTTTGTGAATACCTAGATGTAGAATATGTAGGTGTTTCCTTTGGGAATTTTTCCTTAAGGACTCATAAGACTCAAAAGCATTTTGTACTTGTGACCAAGATTATGACAACAAAGGATAACAAAAAGTAAGCAGCAGGAAAAAGATATATATTAGTAGTGTCCGAGGAGTTATGGCAAACTTCCTAGTTTTTCCTTGTCTGAGCACACAGACTGCGCTTTCTCTCTGGCAGGAAACTACAGGGAAAGTGTGGACGGAATATTTCTACCTAGGTAAGTCTCAGGGACTGCAACATTTTGTGGGTCTGGTCACACAGACATTTATCCAGCCCTGGCAAGTGAAACTCAGGTATATATCATCAGTCTTGGTGTTTGTGCAAAGCACTCTCACAAGCCAGGAGCCATGGTCCATTGCTTTCCACATTTATAACAAAATCATTAATCATTACCATAAAGAAAACTCTATATTCCACATTTTCAAGGGTTGGCTAAGAGACAATTATAATTTCCTTGGAAAAATACGAGGAATAAGAAATATTACCTACAATGTTAGCACTGTGGCATGGTAAATATATGCTTTGTTTTTAAGAAACTGAAAAACTTTTCCTCCAAAAAATTATTTTATAGTTCCATATAATAAAATCAGTACCTTCATATCTTTGCAAATACTTGGTATGAACTTTTAAAATTTTAGTCACTTTAATTAGTTAATAGAAGTTTTTCGCTGTAGTTTTAGCTTACATTTTTTCTCTAATGACTAAAGACGTGTACATCTTCATATGTCTTTTGCCATTCTTTTTTTTGGGCGGGGGGGTTCCGATACTGGGAATCGAACTCATGACCTTGCACTTGCCAGGCAGGTGCTGTGCCACTGAGCTAAATCCCCAGCCCCTCATTCATTCCTTTTTATTGTGAAATACCTGTTCAGATCTTGCCTTGTGTGTGTGTGTTGGGGGGTGCTACTGAGGGGTTGAACCTAGGGCCTTTGCAATGAGCTACATCCTCAGCTCTTTTTTATGGTTGCACTGTGAATAAGTTGCCCACTTCAAGTTGCACTCCTATCTCTGGCCACCAGAGTGCT